ATTTGAATGTCAGCAGACAGCAAGAAGCCTCCCAGATCTCCAGATGCATTTGAGATATCAAAAAAGTACTCCAGAGTGTTGTTCAGCATGGGGGGAGTAGAAAATGAAGGCTAATCATGTTTTGGGTGTACTATCCCTTTAAGTGGATTCCAGTAAAGAAAATAGGAAAGAAGAGCTTCTGTAAGAACGGAAAAAACTTCCCAACATAAACACGGGTCGGTTGTCTACGGCAGGGTGTGTGTGTTCATGTGTGTGTGTAGGGTGATGAGCATCTACCTGAAATTATTCTTTGGAACTTGGAAGGTCTGTAGCATGTGGTGGTGTGCTGTCACCAATGGTTCCATTTTTCCACGTGTGATCATATACTACTGAGAATTGCTTCTTCTTGGCTGATTTATGGAACTCTCACCGTAACCTGAACTTTTATCACGTGTTGTACTTATATGGGGCCCACCCAGATAATGTTGCTTACGGGCCTATTGTTGTGTTGTTACACCATTTTTTTCCTGTTCAAAGGGAGTTTTTCCTCTCCACTGTCGCTACAAGCATGCTTAATGTGAGAGATTGCTGAAGACTCAATGAGTCGATGCAATCAGCTGGTTTTCCTTAGATAGAAAACTTTGAACCAATTTGCTGTATGATCTGGTGAACTGGAAAGTGCCTTGAGATGACATGATGTGAATTGGCGCTATAGAAATAAACTGAATAGAATTTGATTTTGGATCAAGATGGAGGCAGAGCTGACTGTTCAGTTCACGCTGCATGGAGAAATTGGAGGCAAAGAAAAGGCTCTTTTTTTTAACTATAAAAAAATGTTTATGAAGAACAACGATTAAAAACAAAAAGCAAAAAATTAAACTGACAAAAAATGTAAGCAAAAAAAAAAAAAGTTTAAGATTCAAGTTGTTTTGCTTTTTAATTTCCAAACTGCTGGCTCCTCAGAGAAGAAATAATTGCCCCCATCTTATCTGGTCCCACAGCACTTTGAGGGGCCTGTGGCTTGAAACAGAAAAAAAAACTTAAAAAAAAAAAACTTCATTTCTTCTGAGTCCCTATTTTCTTCATTTTTTATAAATTTCAAATTTTGTTTTAAATTTCAAATTTTTGTTTCCATTTTAAAAATGTTTCATAGATTTTTTTTCTGAATCTTTTCTTTCTACTTTCAGATTTTTTAGCGACAAACTTACTGGCACCAGCGTAGCTCCATAACGGTGCAAACAGAACCCAGGGTGGACTGACCTGTAGATGAGCACGATGATGAGGACGATAAGAGCCACGATGGACGCTCCCACACCCACTCCAATCTGGGCCTCCAGTGGGAAAGTGGGGGGGCTGAGGCTGTCATACTGAACCTTGCCAAGAGAGAAGTTCAGGTGGCCCATTTGGACCTGGAACACAACCAGCCTGCTTTAGTCACACAGCAATGTGGGGGGAGGGGGGTCAAAGTGGGATGGACTCACCGTGAATCCTGGCAGGTTGTCAGAACCTTCACACTTCCTGCAGTTGGGCTGCTGAGGTGGGGGCTCACAGTACAGGTGGTTCTTGGTCAGGGTCTTCACAGCACACACCCCCTCCCCTATCAGGACCACTACTTCCTCTTTGGTGATGGCCAGGTCCAGGTTGTCGCCCTGGAAACGCAGAGACAGTTTTTCCTGGTTTCCTGAAACTCCTCCTCTGCCAGCGTCAACATTCAACCCTTTCAGTTTATCTTTATCTTCTCATGCAGTTTTCGAAGCATCAAACCTCCTTTTATCACCATTAATGAGGTGAAGAATGAGGCCCTGACCTCACCAGATCCCAGTCGGTACCAATGCCTGCTTTGGCGCCTCCTCCCATCACCAGGCTACTCTACTCAGCACTGCCTACTCTCCCAGACATTAGCACATATGAACTATACGAAAAGGGAATCTAAGACAAAATACACAACAACAATTTCAATGAAAGCAGATATTACCAGAGACATCAATAAACAGCAGTATGGATGACTTTAAATACTTTGGAATCACTGTTGAAATTCATTTCAACTTTCATCGTCGTACCATCAACATGTCTCCTGATGTTGGGTCCTTTAACTGTGCTTTGTGTGGCCGCAGCCTGTAGACCAAGGAGTACCAAAACAAGACTAAAAAAAGGTCTCGGCCTCTAAAGGTCTATGACTCTGAAAGATCCCGGCCTCGGCCTCTGAAAGGTCTCGGTCCCTGCCGAGGCCTATTGAAAGGTCTCGGCCTCTGAAAGGTCTCGGCCTCTGAAAGGTCTCGGCCTCTGAAAGGTCTCGGTCTCTGCCGAGGCCTATTGAAAGGTCTCGGCCTCGGCCTCTAAAGGTCTCAGCCTCTGAAAGGTCTCGGCCTCTGAAAGGTCTCGGCCTCGGCCTATTGAAAGGACTCGGCCTGGGCCTCTGAAAGGTCTCGGCCTCTGCCGAGGCCTATTGAAAGGTCTCGGCCTCTGAAAGGTCTCGGTCTCTGCCGAGACCTATTGAAAGGTCTCGGCATCGGCCTCTAAAGGTCTCGGCCTCTGAAAGGTCTCGGCCTCTGCCGAGACCTATTGAAAGGTCTCG